TTTTGTGAGTTCCCGGCCCAACAAAGTCTCTATCCTTGCAATATTGTCCTATAACTAAATATTGTCCTGTAACTAAATATTGTCCTGTAACTAAATATTGTCCTGTAACTAAAGCACCTGTAGGCCAGACAAGGAACGATGGATGGAAACCGAACAAGGAGAGAGATTCAACCTGGAAATAAGGAGAAACTTTCTGACAGGGAGAACAATCAACCCATGAAACCTTCAGAAGTTTGTGGAAGCTTCATCACCGGAGGCTTTCAAGAAGAGATTGGACTCCCATCTGTCAGAAATGGGTCTCCCTGCTTGGGCAGGGGGTTGGACTAGATGACCTATAAGGCCCCTTCCAACTCTGATTATCTGTTACATCTGTTAAACGATACATGAGAAAAAATGTTGAGAGAGGAGAAAACAAATACTGCCAAGGGAATATTCCGATAAGGCAGGACATCGCCCACAGCTGCACAGTGGGCAGAGAAAGAGGCTCAAAATGGACCCTCCCTAGTTTACAGATTCACAGAGTTGGAAGGGACCTTGTAGGTCATCTAGTCCAACCCCCCCTGCCCAAGCAGGAAACCCTTCCTACACCATTTCTGACAAATGGCAGCCCAATCTCTTCTTGAAAGTCTCAAGGGATGAAGCTCCCACAACGTCCGAAGGCAACTTCTGTTCCATCGGTTTTAGTCTCCAGTCCCCTAATCATCCTGGTTGCTCTTCATCTTCACCCCATCTTTCAAGGACTTTTGCACATACCATTACCACCTCCGCTACTCGGTTTACAATAAGATCAGGGCCAACTTATTGGTGGTAGCTGAACTCAAAAGGCCCCCAGACCCCTCTTGATCCCAATAGTCAGCCACTTCCATGGAAACATAGAAAGAAATACTGAAGTTCTTAGTTGTAGCTTTGTCTTTGTATTACAGCAGCCTTTTTTTCTTCTTCTTAACATCTTGTACTCTTTTTTTTAATTGTTTTATTTTATAATCTCACGATTGCACTGCGTTTTATGGGAGGCTATATGTTAAGACCACTGGTTCCGACAATAAACTTGGTTTGCGTTGGGTGTGAATTGCAGTCAATAATCCCTTTTTACACTGAGCTGCATCAGCAGCTAATGAGCTAAAGAGCTACGTACAAAGCTGCCAGAAATCCAAGAAAGGGAGGAGGAAAAAAAAAAAAGATTGAAAAATGTAGTCCAGTTTTACAAGGCCAGGATAAACAGCTTGGGACTCCAGTGGTTGCAGTCAGGCAGATAGTAAGAGGCTAAATGGCCTGACCCCTGATTTGGATGTCTCCATTCAGGAGTTGGGCTTCATACCAACTCCCTAAACGTTGAGGTCAATAGAAGGAGGGATAAAGTATCAGCGGCTTATCCTGTCCTGGCTATTTTGGATAATATAAACACTTTTTTATGTGCTCAGCACCAGGCTGGAAGTTTCTCATTCCAAAAGAATTTGGGTCCGTCCTTTCCAGACCTGGATGGAAGTCAAGATAAATTTTGTAACTGTCAGGCACAAAAGATCAGTTCTCTGCCTGAAAGTCCCATTTGATTTATTGCTACTCCTGCCTATGCACACGAATCTTCTCAACTAACATTTATCACCTGCTAGGAGTTAGAGAAGGTCAGTGGAATTCAAGGGAAGTTGGACTTAAGTCTTTGCTTGTGTCTATGTAGGGATTCTAGGCTGGTTTCTCTCTTGACTCCACCCTCAGGCCTTCCCCTATAGTAACTTACAGAAACGCATGGATGATTTTTTCAGAAATCTGTCGGCTGGATAGCCAATCAAGATCTAAAGAAGAGTCGATTGATGTGTTTTGTTAACCCCTGAAGGATATTGGCTGCTTGTAGATGTGGCCATGGATGGATCAGTTGAGTAAACCTTGGGTAAAATCATGTTCTCCCCCCCACCCAAAAAAATGCCTTCTGCATTCTTGAATTGCATTGTCAAGGGGAAAAACCGGCACCTTAGAAGCAAGCAAATTATTGCTTCTCTTGTTTATAGGACTTTGAAAAGTCCTACATTGTACAATTTAGAAATAAGTCATCATCTGAAAAGTGAGGGACCATTTTTATGAATCGTCACGCTGCAACATCACACTGTGCTAACAATGTTCGGATTTATGTCCATCTTTTGCTCGTGTCTTGCTTGCTCACCTCTCTTAAGGGACTTTCTGGAAAATTAAGGTTTGATTTTTGTTCAGGCCCCTCCCCCCACTTTCTTAACTGGATTTTTTTTTTCCTAGCAAGTCTAATAAATGTCCTTGTTGGCCATCTGCTGGGAGAACAATCTTCATCTTTTAGCTAGTAATTAATGCTCCTCAGCTGGTGTTCAAGAAATAACGTTCAAGAAAGTCATCTCGGCTTCCCGACTTCGAAGAGTGTCAGGAAAAGATAACTTTGGGAGAAAAAAATTGTATTGGGTTCTAGGTTTTCATCTGTCGTTTTGGCCACAAGCCCTTGTGGTTTTTGTTCCAATAGCCAAAACACCAACCCAGAGAACAACCAAATCCAACATCCACACCTATGATTCTTCCAACGTTGCAGGATCATCTCTCTTCCCCTTTAGCTAAGCAGGTTGGGGATGATGGGGCTCACAGTCACCTTGAACCATGAGTTAAGTACGGGTTAAGTACCGACTTATGAGGGTTGCGGCATCCTGGGGTTAGGGGATTCTCCCTTTTGCAACCTTCTGACCAGCGAAGTCCAGTGAGGAAGCCAGGTCCACTTAAGGACCGTCTTACTAGCTTAAGAACTGCAGCGCTTCGCTTAACCGTGGTGGCAAGCGAGGTCGCAGAATGGAGCAAAACGTACTTAACCTGTGTCTCACTTAGCAACAGAAATTGGGGTCAATTGGGGTCAAGTCAAGGACTACCTGTATAATATAACCGGCTTTATGATGCAGGAAGTTAAACCTCCTCTGCTTAAGCTGTGTGTAGCTTTCATACCTTTATTTTCCTTTTACGTCAAGGCGCTAAGCACCTTTGCTTCCTGCTCTCCTTCTCCTCAAGTTCGGATGTTCTATTACTTTACAAAATGGAAATCTGTAATTTTCTCCTGCTGCCTCTCACCTGAGTCCTTTCTCTTCCCTGCTAATGCAGAGCGCTTGCTAGAAGCAGCGTGAGCCTGATAAAATATCGATCCCAGCAGCTTTTATAAAGTGGCGGACTCAGCTCTGGCAACCGTCTTTGATGCGCTCCAATTTCCTTCAGGGGTTTTCAAGGAAATTGGAAGAGGCAGCGGAAGGAGAATTGCTCAGCCGGCAAAATAAAATAAAATAAAATAAAAATCTTTGGTTTTGGTGCAGTGTTGCCAGAGGTGGTATTCAGCTGGTTCAGACCGGTTGTGGAGAACCGGTAGTGAAAATTTTGAGTATTTCGGAGAACCAGCCAATGCTACCTCTGACTGGCCCCACCAACCCCAACTATTCTCCGCCTCCCATTGAGTCCCAGCTGATCACTGGCTGGATCTTCTTTGGTTGCCCTGCACAGGAGAACGGAGCTGGAAAGCAGGTTAGTGGGTTGGGGAGGGAAGGGGGATTTTGCAGTCACCTTTCCCTGCCACACCCACCACACCCTGCCCACCAAGCCATGCCACACCCACCAAGCCACACCCACAGAACCGGTAGTAAAAAAAATTGAATCCCACCACTGAGCATTACCTTGCTCTGAATTCAAGTCTCTTTTCCTCAACTCTGCATTCGACGGTGGGGAACGAGATCTTGATAATTTTTTGCCTTTGAATAAAATGGGTCAGTTGGAGCTAACCCATTTCCAGAACCTCGCGAAAAGCTGGAGGATTATTTGATAGTGAATTTTACTCACAATGGATTGATCCCATGTTATGCAAACTCTTTGTGGCTCACTCTCTGGTAGCAGTTTCAAAAAAAAAAAAAACCCTCAAAAAACGAGGAACTGCTGGAATTTGGAATATCTCGTATAAAATGATGGAATAAATAGTTTAGTCATGGATGATTAATAACTGATAAATATATAAATATACGTTAGTCTGACAATGTGAAAATTGATATAAATTGTGAGTAATGACTACAAAAGGATAGCACAAAAGATTTGGGGCAGAAACCCAATTGTGCCTTCCAGTTTCTCTACTCAAAGTAGAAAGCAGAAATTGAAACGTTTTTGTAAAAACATTGGTCTGTGTTGGGCTCCTCGGTACTCTCTGAGCTTGGTTGCTTTCTTGCAGACGTTTTGTGACCCAGCTAGGTAACATCATCAGTGTTAGAAGGGAGCGGTGTTAATCTGACAGAATTGATGTTTCCTAGTTGGCTCATGAAATGTCTCTAAGAAAACAGCCAAGCTCAGAGAGCACCAAGGACATCTTCCTCCCCTCCTTCACTTTAAAAACATGACTCCCTTCCAGCACTGAGGATGTTACCTAGTTGGGTCATGAAACGCCTGCAAAAAGAAACAACCAATCAATCTCAGAGAGTATTAAGGATTCCTGTCTTCCTCCCCTCCTCTCCACAAACCCCACCCACTTCTAGCTCTGCTGATGTTACCTACTTGAGGATTACCTGTATTAATATGCAAGGTTCTTGCATATGCATACAATTAGGTTATATGCTCTAATTAATCCCTAGATTGCATTTGTATCAGTAGTTCTGTTTTTTTTCTCCTAGAGACACTGAAGAAGACTGAGTTGGAATAACGTTAACCAATAACCAGAGAGTGGTTCTAGAAACCGTTTTTTTTTTATAAAGTCTACCTATGTTAAGAATTCAATATTGGTGTACATTTATATTAACAGAATATTTACATGTTGCTTTCTTTTGTTGTTGTATTTAAAACAAGAAGTCAAAAAACTCTAATTTTCTCCATAATATAAGGCAAAAAACAAACAGTTTTTGTACATTATTATTAATTATTATTATTAATTATTTTTTTAATATATATCTGTAACTTCAATTTCAAAGTACCAGAGAAACCAGTGGCCTCAATTCAGGAACCTCACAGTGGACTGTATGAAACTACAGTTAATCTCCATAAATAATACTTTTAAGAAACCCTGGATGTATGGTTTTTTTTTTCTTTTACTTAAGGATCTGAGGCCACAAAATTTAAACTAGAAACAAAAACTTCCTTTTTTTTTCTTTTTGCATGTGTTTTTTGTGTATGTGTGTGTGTGTGTGTGTGTGTGTGTGTGTGTATGAACAAAGAGCACAAAATTAAAAAAAAAATACATTCATTAAAAATGTTCCTGGCATTTGGGGCAACAACAAAAAATAAAAATAAAATAAAATGTACAAACCTGGTAATAGTTTAAACTCAGCACAGAAGCAAAAGGGGAGGAGGAAAAAAAAAAAGAACAGAATAAAACCAGGAAACAAGAAAAAAAAAACAAAAAACCAAAGACCTATATATTAAAATTTTCCATTTCTTTTTCTTTGTCAGCAACCGTGCGGTCTCGAAAGGTTTGTAACCTTCGGATGCCTCCTTCTGCGCGATCCCCACTTCCCCTCCCTTCCATCGCCTTTCGCAACTGTGCTTCATTTCTACAAATTTTACAGTTTTTTTTTTTAAAAAAAGTTTTACAGCAGTGCATTTTTTTTGTTTTAAAAAAAGGGGGGTTCCCCCCAACCCCATTCCCCCCCCCCCGTCCTCCTCTATTATTTATACAGGTAAGTTTGGAAAAAAAAAAAACCAATTATCCTGCAGGCGGGCCGGGAGCTATCGTGCCTCGACTTCTTTGGCATTGCTAGAAGGGGAATAATCCCGGGATTCCGGGTTTGTGAGCGGGGTAGTCCGACGGGGGGAGGAGGGTCTCGTACTACTCGCTGGGACCAATGGGGGTGGAGCACTGAGCGCGGCAGTGGGCGGGTTCCGGCTCAAAATCCCGTTGTGCATGGCGGCCGAAGGGCTGAGCCTGGGGTAATGCATGCTGCTGAGATGAGACATGAAGGAAGGCATGTGGGCCAGGTGGCTTTCAATGGGGGAGGTGTGCAAGTGGTGCATCCTGACACGCTCGAGTTCTTCCCGTAAGTGCAACCTCTCCCGCTCTTCCGCTTGCCGGAGACGCTCCTGCTCCCGGCGCGCTTCCAGAAGGTTCTCGTGGTTGTAGTCGTGGGGTTCGCGGTCCCGGTAAGAGCGCTCGTGGTCATAAAATCCCGAGGCGGCGGGAAACCGGTGGATGGGATCCGATCGGAGCTGGAAGTCCATCCGGCGGTGGAGGTCTAAGCTGCGGTAGGCGTCGCGCAAGGGGTCCCTCATGGGGTCCCAGGAAAAGCCCGGGTGGGGTAGCCTCTCGCGTCCCGCAAGCGGGTTCATGCCCATCAGTGGGGTCATCATCCGGCTACGTTCCAAAACGTTCATGTTGTTCATCTGATGGACGCTGCCCATAGAGATGGGCATGGCGGCCGCCATGGTGTGAGGCAGGGGCAACCCGTGGAGAGAAGGAGGTGGCGGGTGCTCGGCGCCGCGGGGATGCTGCGAAGTTTCCGAGCTCACCACCAAGACATCGCTCTCCTCTTTGCGCTCTTCTTTGACTTTGACGTCGTTCTTGATCTTCTGGAGGTCCGCCAGCAGCTCCGGCTTCCTCTCCACGTCCTTGTTCATCAGGCTGCTGAGTTTCAAGCTCTCGCTCAAGGCCGGCTTGCTGTAGGGAGAAACCGACTGGATTACGGGCTTGGTATTGTCCTCCAGGGATCTCTTTTCATGGCTGGGAGGTTCCTTCACCGGTGAGCGGCTTTCTTTGATCTTCTGCTCTACCACCGGAGGGGGATCTCTGAGCCGGTCGGGAATCTCTCTCTCTAGATCTTTAGATCGGTCTCGTTCCAGGAGGGCAACCTGCCGGCTGGAATCACTCGCCGCCTGGCTGTTGCTACGGATGAGATTGCTGATCTGGTGGGTCACGGGAGCTGAAGCCGGTGAGGATCGGTTTGAATGCCTGCTTTTGTCCAGAAGATCCCTGGAGGGAAGGAGATTGAGACAATGGGTGTCACCGTAAAAAAACCCTTTTGCATTATTATTCAACAGAGTTCGTAAATGTGGTTATATATATTGAGTATGTGTAATGTGTGCCAGTAAAAAAAAAACATGTGATGTGCCCATGTATTCTTATAATACATGGCTTGATTCAAATCACAGGCTAAGTCGGTCTAGTTAGTAAGATGGATGGCATGAAAACAGAGCAGAAGGGAGGGAGGGGTGAGGGGGAGAGAAGATAAGCAAGGTGGAGAGAATAGAAAGGGAGGAAGAAAGGAAGGAAAAGAGAGAGAAAGAGATGGAGAAAGGAGGAAGAAAAAGAGGGAGAGAGGAAGGAAGGTGGGAGAGAAGAGAAGTGAAGTGAAGAGAAGGAAGGTAGAGAAGGAAGGAAGGAAAAGAGGGAGGGAGGGAGGGAGGGAGGGAGGGGAGAGAAGAGAGAAGAAAGGTGGAGAGAGAAGGAAGAAAGGAGGGAAAAGAGGAAGGGAGGAGGAAGAGAGAAGAGAAAGAAGGAAGGAGAAAGGAAGGAAAAGAGGGAGGAAGAAAAGGAAGAGAAAGGTGGAGAAAGAGGAAGAAAGGAGGGAGAAAGGAAGGAAAAGAGGGAGAGAGGAAGGAAGGCGGGAGGCAAGAGAAAAGAGAAGGAAGGTAGAAAAGGAAGGAAGAAAGGAGGGAGAAAGGAAGGAAGAGGGAGGGAGAAAGAGAAAGAAAGAAGGTAGAGAAAGGAGGAAAAGAGGAAGGGAGGAGGGAGAGAGAAGGAAGGAAGGAGGGAGGGAGGAAGAGAGGAAAGAAGCAGGCAAGAGGTGAATTCCCACAACACACTGAACCTCCCCCAAGCCATGGACACCAGTCCATTTTGCAAAGGCCACCTTCCCTTACCTCTCCTTCTCTCTCTCTTCTTTACTGGAGGAAAGCTCCCTCTTCTCGGAGTCTCGGTCTCTGTCGTGATTCGTCACCGAGGAACTCCGCTCGGTGTCCCCCGGCTTGGGCCACTGAGGCGGCGTAGGGAAAGAGGGCGGCGTCCGGTGCAGACGGTTCCAGGGCTCGTGGGGGCTGCCAAAACTCTGGACGTTCGGCCCGTCCTTGTGAGCGAAGATGCTGCTGTGACCTGGAGACCGAGAGAAAGCGGGAGAAAAGATTGGATTCGCTCCTGGGTGACAGGAAGGACGTTGAATAACAACAACAACAAAAAGGCCAATTGTTTTTTTTAAAAAAGTGCACTTTTTTTATTCTTTTTCGGCCGGGAAAAAAGAGGAAGGGGGGGGGGGGGGGGGGGGAAGGGAGAAAAACCCTTGGAAATAGCAATAAGGAACAAGGACCCATCGAAAGTCTCGGCCGGCAAAGAAATCTGCATAACTACGTGGACGTGATGAGCAGAGGTGGTATTCAGCCGGTTCTGACTGGTTCTAGACAACCGGTAGTGGAAATTTTGAGTAGTTTGGGAGAACCGGCAAATCCCACCTCTGACTGGCCCTGCCCCCATCTATTTTCCGCCTCCCAAGTCCCAGCTGATTGGCTGGGTCTCCTTTGGTTGCCCTGCACAGGAGAACGGAGCTGGAAAGCAGGTTAGTGGGGTGATGAGTAGAGGTGGCATTCAGCCGGTTCTGACCAGTTCTGGAGAACCGGTAATGGAAATTTTGAGTAGTTCTGGAGAACCAGCCAATGCCGCCTCTGACTGGCCCCGCCAACCCCATCTATTCTCTGCCTTCCATTGAGTCCCAGCTGATCGGCTTGGTCTCCTTTGGTTGCCCTGCACAGGAGAACAGAGCTGGAAAGCAGGTTAGTGGGGTGGGGAGGGAAGGGGGATTTTGCAGTATGTCCTTCCCCTGTGGTGCCCACCAAGCCACGCCCACAGAACCGGTAGTAAAAAAATAATTGAATCCCACCCCTGGTGAAAAGGGTATTTGGTCTCAAAGTTTGCAGGTGAATCCCAAATCACGCTGCTGCTGGGACACCCAGAGCTAAACTGAGCCGATGGGGATGGTTATGGATGTTTATTGTGAAAATGCAACTCATGGAAGAGGGTCAACATCAGATAAAGTGGGGATTGAGATCCTTTATTGGGGGCATGAATTGGCTGAACGGAAGCACAATAATCCAGATCTGCCACAAGCGTCTCTCTCTCTCTCTCAATTCTGTAGGGTCCTTGGTGCTCTCTGAGCTGGGCGGTTTTCCTGAAGACGTTTCATGACCCAACTGGGTAACATCATCAGTGCTAGAGAGAGTGGGGTTTGCTCCCTGTTCCACTCCCTTCTAGCACTGATAGTGTTACCCAATTGGATCATGAAACGTCTGCAAGGAACACCACAAGCTCCGAGAGTGCCAAGGACCCCACAGCTGAACCCTGAGCTACAAAGTCTCTCTTTTATCGGTGCTCCTAATTCTGTTGGCCATCCAGCTTGGCGTTCCCCAGTTGTGCTGGGAACACCGTTCCCAAATCCCTAACTGGGAGCAGTGGTTAAATTGAGGAGTTCCTGTCTCCATGCATCTCAAAGACGTTGAGGAAGATGACAGAGCTTTCTTGAAGAACATCATCTACTAGAAGTTTTTTGTATTCATGAAATTGTCCCCAAGGATGGAGAGCTTTATGGCATGTGTTCTGGGTTTTTTTTTTTTTTTGGAAGGGTGGGGGTTGTTATTAAATAAATTGGACGCTTTTGAAAATTCTTGGTTTGGGGGGGTCTGTATTTACGACCGCACACCGAAACATAATCCTGAAAACATGTAGACAGCTCCAGTCTCAACACATGTAGCAATGCGTGTTCCAGTGTCTCTTTGGTCGCTTAACTTTCCTTCCACAAAGATTCACCCCTTCAAGTTCCTTCTATTTTCTAGTTTGATGAGCCTCAATCCAGCAGACCGTCTCTCCAGGAAGCTGGCCTTGGTTACAGAAACCCTTGTTAACCTCTCACGATGCTAATGACCTCCAGGGTATTTTTGGAAGACACAAGAACACCGGAACAGCCCTTACGTCTGCAGAGGTGGAATTCAAGCGTCGGAGTCTATGTTTAGTTATATTCTTTTCTGGAGACAACAATCGGCACGTGCAGCTATTTTCCAAGGACCATGTGATCAACCAGGAATAAGAGGGATGGGCGAGACACCCTTCAATCAGCCAGCACAGTGTGACCTGAAGGAAAAAACAGAACGCCCTAGTGTTCTGTCCTTCCCTATCGTATATTTTGCACATGCTCGCATAAGTTACGTTGGAAAAGGTGAGCTACAGTAGAGTTCAAGCTGTCTGGGTCGATCATTCTACGTTCACACTTCTATCTTGGGATCCGTAGTTCTGGTCTATGCAGGCCTAGGCTTGGCAACCAGATGTCCTCCAGATGTCAGCTCCCTTCCTTATGAATCTCATTCCAGCAGGTCTTCTTTTCAGAAAGCTCAACCCAATGAAGGAAGCCATCTTAGCCTCTCAGCACGGACGGTCCAAAATATCTGGGGGATCATCCAGTTCCCTCCCCCTCCAAAATGGAGTTAAGAGAACGTGGTGCCTTGACTGAAACTACAGAGTTGATAATCTGTCTGTCTGCCTCTCTATCATATCCACCTCAAACCAGTGACTCAAGGCAGGCAGCAAGCATTCATAAAAACAATGAGAACACGATACACAAAGAAATTAAACGCAAACAGCAGCCAAGAAATATTACAATCTATCGGTATCAGCTTCCCCAGGTAATAGGAACATTCATGTGTTCGGGACTCCAGGCCTGGGCACGTAAACAGATCTTCAGAAACCTTCCAAAAGACCAACAGAGTTGTGCCATCCTAATCTCAGGAGGAAGGATGTTCCAGAACGCAGACTATGGCAGAAGAGGCAAACTCCCTAGTGCCCACCAGCCACCAATTCCAGGAGTGGAACAGGCCCATCCTTACTGGACCAGATTGGACAGGTAGAAATGACTGGAAGCAGACAGTGCCCCAGGTAAACCCCGTACCAAGCCGTATGTTCTCTTGCCTCTACAGCAAGGGTCTTCCAACTTGGCAAGTTTAAGACTTGTGGACTTCAACTCCCAGAATCCCTGAGCTAGCATGACTGGAGGAGGAATTCTGGGAGTCGAAGTCCACAAGACTTAAAGCCGCCAACCTTTTCGACCTCAGGGACCACCAAACTCATAATTTTAGATCCCAGGGACCACTAACTGGTTCTGTGGGCATAGCCTAATTTGTGGGTGTGGCTTGGTGGTCATGTGACTGGCTGGGCATGGCTTGTATGTAAATGTTATGAATATTTATATAAATATTGAATTTATTATAAAAAAAAGAGCAACTTTCACCCAAAATCAGGCAAAGCAGGCAGGCAGATTGAGTTGCTCACAGAA